GGCTTGTCAAAGAATACTCACTGCGAGCTAGAAGTGGCTGATCAAAGAATACTAGCATTGATGAGTGAAGTCAATGGGCCAAGAGTTGGTCGATAATACTCACTAGGAGCTAGAAGTGGCTGAACAAAGAATACTAGCGCTAGTGAGTGAAGTTGGCGGGCCAGGAATTGGTCGATAATACTCACTAGGAGCCAGAAGTGGCTGATCAAAGAATACTAGTGTCAGTAAGTGGAGTTGACGAACCAGGAGTGGTTGAGAATACTTGGGCAACCAAAAGTGGTTTAAGAATACTAGCTTCTGTGAGTGAAGCAGACAAGCCAGAAGTGGTTGAGAATACTTGGGACCAGGAGTGGTCGTGACCTAAGTGGTCTATAATACTCACTACAAGCTTGAAGAGGCTGAACAAATAATACTTGTACTTTATTGAACATCTAGTGGAACCCTTTAGTTGAAGGAGATTGGACGTAGCTCAGTTTGAGCGAACCAGTATAAAAATATTTGCACAACTCATATATTAAATGCACTTTTAATTGATTGATCTAAGATGATGAAAACTTCATTTAATGCTTATCATCTATTAAAACTATCTTTAGACGAAAACCACACTTGTTAAATTAATTATTCAAAAGAACGATTTTCTCTTAAGAAGCATCTTATCTAAGCAGACGATGAAATTCCCAGACGCAAAATGATTTTGTTAAACCAAACCTGGGTAGTTCCTATTTAACATTCACTAACATCATTTTACAGGACGAAAGAAAGTCTTCTTGCGAAAAGTTTTTTTTAAAATGACTTTGTTCACACACACACATATTCAACCTCCCCTTCTATGTGTTCTTTACTAAACTTCAACATCCTCATGTTGATGATCACATACAACAAAATTTAAACACATACAAGAATAACAAGGGAGTGAGAAAACACCTCACTCGGTTTCAGGTGTAAAAATAACAGTTAGGCAATACACACACAAATCATAACAAGCATAGTCATAGCTACACATTAATTAGGTGAAAATTCCAATTATACATACAATAGTAACACATGCACAGTCATTCATCATGCAATGATGTCATGGACTTGACTCATAAATGCATGCATGTGGCGCCAGTCACATATCACATATCACTGGTGTGCTGCCTAAACAATACACCTAAGGTAGTTTAGGAGTACATGTAGGGAGTTACCCATACACTCTTAACTAGAAGGATGTACTGCTAGGGTCTGGTCGGGATAGCAAAGTTGCGCAAGTTACGTCTCGTGCTCACAAACGGGCAGAATCAAGACATCCAAACCGCACTATCCCCTAGGACTCCCCCAAGATGTTACACAAGGAGGGCCTTTCCTAACAGTGTACTCCACATCGTACCCTTCACATAGATGCACATGATGCATGTCACACACATTCACACTTCATGAACTCATCACTTTACTTGTCATAGACTTTCATGTCTTATCTTATTTCATCACATTTCACATTCTCATAGTCATAATGCTTACAATAGCACGTCATTCACATCATGCCTCATGTCATTTGTTCACATTTCACATAGTCATACTCATAAGATCATCATTTGGAGATTCTTATCCTCGTCATGCTCATATTCACTTCTCACATTGTCTCATCATATTCACATTTCACATTTCTCATAATCATACTCATAATTGTCCTTCATAGGGTTTCGCACAGGAAATGAATAATTATTAAAAGCATGTGATTAAAAATGGATTCGTGTGTTTTTGGATGTAGAATATAATAAAAAGCATGTTTAAATAGTACATTAAAATTAGAATTATATTGGATTAATTGCATTTAATAAATCACAAAATATGATACACAAAAATGTGATTGTTTGGCTGAGTCTTTGAAAGTTGCGAAGAAAGTTACAATTATATTGGATCTGTTGCAATATATATATCCAAAAAAGGAATCAAAAAATAATTGGGCCAAGTGATAGAATTTTTTTCTTGTAGAATAAGGATCCAAAAATGTGCAGCCCAGCCGATGATATTAATCCTAAACGTGTAGGTTCATTCCTGAAGTTGTTTTTTGAATTGAATTTATGATAGTCCAATACTTTGACAGAATTCTGCAGCTCTGATGTGGATGGTGCATTTACATTCATTATGATCACTGAAAACCAAATCTAACGCAATTTTCATTCGAACAGTTTCTTCATCAAGGCTCTGAAAATGTTACGTTGTTTGACATATATTAATATGCATAAGTAAAATAAAATGTAATTTCAAATGTATTGCATTATTTGCTCACCACTTTGATTAAGTTTGGTTGAAATGCATATTCCATATCCATCTATTGTAAAACCCAAATAATAGAGTTGTTACTGTTATGCATTGGAAAAAAAAAATTTTAATATAAAATTCATTACGAAAAAAAAAATGTAAAGTAAATTAGTATTGGTTACCTATGGCCACAATTTGGAACTGCCCTTCCTTGCAAAATATCCCAGCTTTCTCCATGTACTAATTCTTTAACAAAATGTTGAGGATAAAAACTTGATTCCATCATTTGTATTATGACGTTGGACTGAAAGAGGAAAATAATATGTATGAAATTGATAGCGAAGTTAGGATGGTTGATTTATTTGGAGTTAATTGTGACATACTATTCGCATCATGTTGTGACGTCTACTAGCCATTCTTTCCTCCTTTAGATAAGAATCCAAATGGTATATTACATGTTTAAATTTTGTTGTATGTGATCATCAACATGAGGATGTTGAAGTTTAGTAAAGAACACATAGAAGGGGA